CCTGAGAGCGCAGCCCCGGAGGCTTGCGCCGAGGTCCTGTCGCTTGTGCCGGTAGGGTTCCGTGCCGGACTTCGCCTGGGACCAGCAGCGACAGGCAAAACTGCACTGCCGACTTTGGCACTCCCTTTCCCAGTGTAAATAATGTGCCTAAAATGGCTGACATCATTCCAAGCTGTGTAAACCTCGGTTGTTTCCTACTTTCGTTTCTAGGCTGAACGACACTTGGACTAAGTCCAGCAACTGTGCAATCGCCTTAATTTTAAAAGCAGTTTTTTCTTTACTTCCCTTTTCCACGGCTGCTTGGTGCTGGTGTATGAACTTCACCCGGAGGTCCGGGGAAGCGGGGGAATGGGGACGACAAGTCAGCGGAGGTCCGACGATTTTATAGTTAAAACATACTCCAAGAAAGACAAGTAATTATCACATGGCTGTTGGTGTATAGCTATGAAACCAAACGTAAATGGTCTGCTCCCGTCCCACAAAAATTCTCCATTTTACAAAATCCACTTTAGTCCTAGGTAAAAGTCTAGACTATAGCTGTTGTTGCGTTAACTTTTAGTTGCTTAATTATAGATTGAGAAGTTGCCTCTTCCTACTATGTCCTTTGTGAGGCTGCAAAATTTCAGTCCCCTAGAAATTAACCATACAGTTTCTGTTACTTAGCTGAGTTTTGGGGTAGCACCTCTCCTGACCTATTATCAGTATAGTAATTCTAGTTCTAACGTAAAATCATCTGTGCCAGATTGAATACAAAATTTTTATATGGTCTAATGAAAATTACCCCCGAAAAATAGGTCACTAATAAACTATAAAATTTAGATATACTATGCTGTTAACCTGGACGTGTCTGTACTTATGTTCTAAATAAATGTCTTGGGTTGATTTTTCTTTTTTAATGACTGCTTGGCCTTGAAATAGGAACAGCGAACTTACTCTCTAACAAGATTAAAGGTTTCCTGAACCCATTGCAAACAGCCTTGTTCTTGAAAATGTTTGGAATGCACAGGCAAAAACTACAGTAGCAAATTACCTTAGCTCTTTATCTAACGTTGTAGCTAAAATAGATAATAGACAAGTACCCAGTCACAACAACCTCAAATATATATTAGTGCTATTGTATATATATAATTGTAATTCTTTTAAACAAATATAACTGCAATCAAAGAAAAGGAGAAAGCTTTGGCATCAGATGATGTCATTTCATACAGATTTTCTCTGTTCCTCTGTGGTTAAGATTTGAAACTCTGAACACATCCGAATTAAATTTGCTTGCATCCGGGGATTTAGCCTTGTGGCTCCTCTGCCTTCCTCTCAAGCGCAAGGTCCTGAGTTTAATCTCAGGTACAAAAAAAAAAAAAAAAAAGAAATTTGCGGGGCAGCTTTAAAATTAACTTTTTAACAAAATGTTATTTATGATATAGTGATCCTGTTTTCAGATTCTTACAATTTCTCACAAGTTTGCCATAAATTAAATTTTGTGCTATTTCTTATTTTCTTAAATTCCATATCCAAAGAAAAATACTGAGGCTAAGCAGTGAAGGCCAGGCTTCCTTTGTAACACACAGCAGTCACAGATGAACACTCAGTGGGGGACAAAATAATTCTCTACATTAAAAACAATCTTTTATCAGTCACTTGAGGGCAAAGGAAAACCTTAGTGATAGACATTTCTGAGAGAACTTCTGACCTCATCTTAAAGCTTGAGCAGTGATTATATAATGTTCTTTGGCTCCTTGGGGGTGACTAGGTGGCAACCACCTTGTCCGACTGCCTGGGCTGGAAACAGAATCAGCCTTAATTTGTTTTGCTTGGGGGGGGCATTTCCTTTGGCTGGTTAGTTGAAAGGGTCAGACTAAACTAGTTGTGGCCCAGAACTCCTTGAACTAGAATTTTTAATACATTTTTAACTTGTAGGCTGCAGTATCTATAGGCTAGTCTTTTTCAAAATGTGCTCTTCAGGACCACCTGCTCTGGTGTCATCTGGAATTCTAGTTTTAAAATTCACATTCTGCTCCCTTATGCAGCAAGAATCCTGATTACTGTATCAGCTGTCTTATATAACATGCATTCCAGTACTTTCACACTGCTCCTGTCTTGCCGTTTTTTCTCTCTGCAGGAGGAGAACCCTACAGAAGCAATTCCTTTCCGTTGGTATGGTTTACAGCTGTAACTACTAATCCCTGTAGCTATTTCTATTGATCATATTGTCTTAACTAGCTTGCATTTTTTCCCCCTGCATTTTCCTTTCAATTATTTTCACCTTCCTGCCTTGGTAGGCGCAAAGCTCTTAGAGAGGAGTAGAAATAGCAAAGAATCATTTTGTTTAATGAAGGTGAGTTTGAAATGATAGACAAATCTTATGTTCTAGGGTAGCAGTCTTTTTTGAATCTTGAAAATAACTGTATATGTACAAATATCAAATACTGTGCTGATTGGAAGTCTCAGATTTTTCATTACATAACTGCTTGATCTTGGACTTAAATTTTAGTTTTCTTGTCTGTGAGATAAGAGGGTAGGACCAGATGGTCTGTAAGGACTCTTCCAGTTTTAAAAACCTATGAAGATGTTAGGATTGCATAATTATATTTTGGAAAGAATTAAATTGTTTTAACAGAAAAACAACAGCTACCTCCTCACCCTAACCAGACTGTTCCCTTTTTTGTTTTAATGTTTAACTTCTTACATTCTTCCCTCATATTAAGTAGGAGTGGGTCAAAGAAAAAGGAGATGAATGGAGGTATTATGTAATAAAGCAACTTTTCTTTTTTGGTTACCTTACTATAAGAATAGACAATTGTCAACAGCTCTTCTGTTGGAAGGCCAGTTTATGAAACCCTTTGCTCAGTATCAAGTCTTCCAGAAAGCCTAAGCTTCGTATCCCCACACACCATTTTGCTGATACATAGTGTTGTTTCCTTGTTTTTTTCTTACCCTACCTTGTAGATGTTTGTAAATGAGAGAGAAGTAAATGCTTGTGTAAGAGAAAATGGGGTAGGGTAGGAGCATGGGTGAAAGTGAAAGGCATCGCAAAATGGCTTCTTGAACCCTACTACTTTGTACCTTCTATTTG